CATACGCTGCTTTCCACCACTGATGCTCTGCCAAAGCAGGCTAAACTCAAGATAAAGATAGATATATGCACATATCATACATACATACATACATACATACATGCATACATGCATACATACGTACATACATACATACACACACACATACATATTTTATGTACATACATGTACATCACATGTATGTATGTATGTATGTATGTATGTATGTACGTACGTACGTACGTACGTACGTACGTACGTAGGTAGGTACGTAGGTTGGTAGGTCGGTAGGTCGGTAGGTCGGTAGAGGTAGGTATGTATGTATGCTGATACCTTCCGATCCGCATTTTGTGGTGAATCGTGGGGTGTTGGGAGGTGAGAACGCGGTAACCTTCAGCAGAATCCAAACCATCCAAACTCAGAACCTTACCAAACATGGGAAGGCACAAAATTCCAAAACATCCAAACGTCTTGGATCAACGGCCAAGGAAATCGCAGAATACGCATTTTTTTGATTTTTTGAGCATTGCAATGTTTGGTGAGGGTGAAGGCCGTGAAGTACCGTAATCCTCAAAAAATCAAAAGCTTCCAAACTCCCAACATTATTGCTGTAGTGCTTAACAAATTTCAGCATTACAGCGTTTGGTGAGGGTGAGGTCCATGAAGCGCTGCAGTGCTCAAAAAATCGACAGATTCCAAGGCTTCAAGGGGCCTGGGTTCTGACTCTTGCATAGATCTCAAACTTTTTTGGGTTGCATTTTTTTTTAGCAGGTCAGTGTTTCGTGAGGTTCAGGGTCTGGAATTTTTTAGAGTGTTCTGAGCATCACAGTGTTTGCTGGGGATGAGGCCACAAAGCCCCGTAATGCCCACCAAATGGTATGATAATTCAAGCCTCTAAGAGTTTGTGGTCCTCAGCAATAGAAACCATATCAAATCTTACTTGATGGCGAGATATAGTAACCTAGATTCCGCTGGAGTTGAGGCCCACGGCAGACCCGCAAATGTTTCCTGTTTCATGCCTCCCGTTCCGTCTCCCAGACCCACCGAAGGTTGATCGTGGGGTGTATGTATGATTGTGTGTATATACTCTATAGAGCTATATATGCATGTAAATATACATCTGTCGAAGCCAGCCCAGAGTCAACAGGAGTGGCGCGATCCAGAGAAGGGTCATGCCCAGAGCCCAGATGGAGAGTCCCCTAAACCCTAACCCAGAGCCCGGATGGAGATTCCTTGAGATGCCTCTTTTGCCTACACACACTCAGGTGAGCGAGGCAGCGGAGCCCAAAGCCAGGCAGAATCAAAAAGGGCAATATAATACACTACTATATTCCTATATTACTATATTGCTACTAATATTCCTATATTAGTATAACATCCTGCCGCAATTTGTCCTCCGCTTGGCTCTCACCCAGGCAGTGGAGGTTGGCATTCCTGATGATGCAGTGGTCTGATGATTCTGCTTGGAGTCTTGGTGCTGTACCACATGCATAGAACCAGGTTGGCGTTGACAGCGCACAATTTCCCAGAAGGACTAGCAGTTGGTGCGGGCATCTCAGCAGCTCTCATGCTTGTTTGCTCTCTCTGTGTATCTGAACCTGAAGAGGCTGTGCTCAGGTCTCATCACTGCAAAGCGAGCACTTGGGAGTTGTGGCAAATTGCTCAGATGAATGATTGGGGGGCTTGGTTTCCTGAATTAAGCTCTCTGCGGCAAAGGTCATGGCAGCAATCGCGGTGCACAACATTCCGGAAGGCATTGCCATTGCTCTGCCCGCTGGGACCTCAGCAGCTGAAAGGTCAGCAACACCGCCCGCCATCAAGGCTTGCAAACCAAGCAACTGCGATAGATGGCAACTGTTGGGGACCTTCTTCAGCCAGCAATGTGCTGAACAATCCTTGGAACAGATGGAGCAGTCAGCAAAGCAGGACCCTGGCTTGGAGCGCTGGACGCGGTATCCTTGATCCACAGCCCCAAACCACAAAGAGGGCCGTCTCGAATGCAGCTGGCTTGCCAGCCCCAGATTCATTCACGGATGGAAAAGGCATGAAGTGGCAGCTTCAAAATGAACATGCGCGCCCTAGGTGCTAGAGGCAACGAACAGCAGATCAAGGGCAATGCTCTTGGTTCAGAACCTAGAGATCACCAGCCGCGTCTGGCACCATCCCGGCATGAGGGTCTTTGCATCCGGGTGACAGCAACAGCAAGTTGACGCTACGCAGGCTACGCTGTCAGGGCTTGCTGAGCCGCTGGGAGCTTTCTTTGCTGTCTGCTCCTCTGTGCTCAGCATGGCACAGATAGCAAGAAGTTACGAGATGTTGCAAGCTCCAAAGTCAAAATCGGCGGACCAAGCTTGTCATGCTGGTAGCTCTGATTTCCAGGTTTCCATTTTGCCACCTGGTGCGTTGGTCGGATCTGGTCTCGCCCTCATAATGAATGTCAATGACGTGCGCGTCTTGCCCAGCTTTTTATCATCGCGCAGGCATGGACATCCTACTATGTATTGTGGGTGGCATCATGACCTCTGTTGCCTGCCTCGAACTCCTGCAAGGTGCTCAGGCTCTCGCATTTGGTTTCTGACATGATAGGTCTCACTTTCAGGAGCATATGGAGCATGATGGAGCATGTGATTGAGGCCAGAGGCTTTGGCACAGCGTCAGACTTGGAGCACAGCTGCTGGTTATGACCTCGGGAACTAGTCCCCCAGCCGCACTCCAGGGGATCCGGTTCTGAGATGTTCTGTGAGAGGTCTGCTGACGGGTGCGCTCATCATGCTCCTGACACATGAAATTGCCTGAGCGTGAGCTCAAAAAGCTGACCTCATGAATTGCAGTGCAACGCTAGCTGTCCATGTGGGAGGCAATTTATGCTGCATGTTTTTTGCCTGCCGCGTGATTTGCTTCCCAGCTGCTCCTTGGAGTTTCTCCTTGGATCCTCCGCGATCGTGTCTGAGTCTGCTACAAAATTGCCATTTTTTGGTCCGAGCTGTTGGCCTCAAAGATTTTGCGCACTCGACGCAAAAATAGGCAGGGACCGTGTATCGATGCTGTTACTCTTTTGCTGGGGCTCTTGCATGTTTGCTGAGGAAGTTGGCAAGTTATCCGTTTCGCCTGGCAGGCGTACCTTGGCCAGCTTTGCCAGTCATGAGCTGGAAGCCAAGCATATTCACGTCACAGTACAGATGAGTTTCTTAGTGGCCATTGTTGGACTGCTTTGCATGCATGGCATGGCTTTTCAGCTCTGGAAATCCTGCTGGCTAGTCAGGCGAACCGCGACGGACGGAGATGAGCTGGGCTGGGACCACTGCCTTTTTTCAACTACAAGCGCTCCTGAAGCGTCCTGAGAGTAGTCCGCAAGTCTGCAGGTCCCACATGTGCAAGCTCCGCTCATCTCCGGCGCTCCTGTGCAGCCAATTGGAAGGCTTTCGGCATATCGTCTGAAGTGCTTACAGTCTTTGCCAAAAAGCGCGGAAGCCGTAGGCAGAGCATGTTTCATCAACCGGCGCAGACACAGAAGCTCGATGCAATTTGAATTGCAACATGCCGTCTATAGTTGCCTTTTATCTTACATGAGGCCACCCGTGTTGCAGCCTGCAGCCCAGTACATGAGGCACGATCGCCAGCAGAGAAGCTGCCTTTCTTACGATATCAATAGGAGCTGCATGGGCAGAAGTCCGCTTGCACAGCTGCTGTAGCATGAACAATTCCAGTACACCATCACGTACTCTGACAAAGCATGGCAAAGAGTCATTGCAACAGACCCTGGCAGCTGGTCCTACGAATTCTGCAGGCCGTTTAACAACGATGTCTCCACAGTGCATGCGCGCCAGAGGTCCTGCTGGGGGTATGAATCAGTGAAGACTCAGTCCATACGAAGAAGTGCCAGTCAGCATGTTACCTGTTCCTGCCCCAAAGCTAAACGTGGCCTACTAGGCTGTACTGCGGTGATTCATTGCCCAGAATGCTGCAAGGCGTCACTTATGTCTGACCTGTTTCGGGCTCAAACCTTCGTTCAGCCATCAGCTCCAAGAGTTTTGCCTCATGCAGCGAGTCACCACCATTGCGTTTACCACACGGGTTTACTTAAAGATTCAGAGCAGCTTGTGTGCATGCGCTTGATTGCTGTCAGCCATGGACTATGCTGGCGCAGATGCTACCGTGCAGGCAGGCGAATCCGAAGCCCTGCCAAGCTTTCCAGACGAGTGACGTGAGGCAACAAATGACAGCTCCATAGTGAGTAAAGCCAGCGCGGCTGCCTCGGGATACTTCGAGGACTCCGCCACTGGGAGTGACACCTGACAACTTGTCTTGCATGTGTCGGCTTTCAAAGCGGCCATATCTGTTCAGGATCGTTTTGTGAGCCATGTGGCTGTGCGCGGGCCTAAAGGCAAACTGATTCGCAGATCGCCTCTGGTACACAGATGCCACTCGGATCCTATGCACCTCATCACCAGTCATCCAAGTCATTTGACTGGTATTAAGGGAGGCGTGGTCCCTTGATTTGCATCACAGAGCTTGTATGCTTTCCAGGTAACACTTTGTTCACTCCCTCAGCTTGCGATGAGTGTCGACATGTGTTGTATCCATTGTCCTGCATTGTGTCTTCCATGCATAGCGGGCAGGAGGTTGCTCATTGACGTAAACTGAAGTTTTGGGGTCTGCATAGACATGGACAGATTATGGATACAACTTGCTTCCAAGCGCATGAAGCTGAATCATAGAGAATATGATACGAGATGTAGAATGAAAGGAAGAACTGAGATTGCCACTTTCTCTTTTTCCGATCCCGCCGACTGATGCGCTTAGGTTACTACGTGCGTCACCTAGGAGTTCTGCAGATGCAGGCTCGACTTGGCTGTAAAGCTATAAACAGTTGTTCCCAGCTTCAGAATGCTCTGGTTCATGTTGCCTCAAGGTAAGGTATACAGGACATCAGGCACTCCCCGAACGAAAAGGTTCCAAGCCCGTGGGACAAAGGGGCTTCAAAGCTTGACACCTGAAGTTTGCTGGCCGTGCCAACATGACTCGGACTAGCGCAAACCAAAGAGCAGGCATCGTGACTCCAGGGTAAGAAAGCTCAGGCTTGTTTGTGCTGGAGGAACTGCGCACTCACCAAGTGTCAGTGGGTGCACTGCAGCTGTTGACAGCTAGGAAGATGGTGCATGGGGTCAAACAGTCCGAGTGTGTGGGTGAGTATGAGACCCTCTCCTGGCCTTTTTGGCATTGAGCTGGGATGCGCGTTTATGTTCATCGGGTCTTCCTGGCAATCGATATGCAAATGGAGGGTCTTAGGGGGTTCTCGCGGGGAGCATCCTGATGTTTTGGTTCGAAATGGAGCTCTCGCGTGGAATATCATCATATTTCGGCTCAAAATTGACAATTGAGCTCTCACGTGGAGCTTTTCCGCATTTTGACATTAAATGGAGCTCTAGCGTGGAGCGTCCTCAAATTTTGGCTCAAAATTCAGTTTTCTCACATCTTCACACCAAATCAAGCGCTCGTATCATATTATGGCTGTTGTAGCTTCCTGGTTTCTGCATCTTGTTGGCCTCCTGTCTTCTTGGCTTTTCGGCTCGCGTCTTCTCTGGCCTTCTGGCGTTGTCGGCGTTCCTGATTTTTCTGACTGCCAAAGCCTTCTAGCTTGTTACCACATAGTACCGGTATTAATTACAAATTATCGTACCATCCGTTCCAATGCGTTTATTCTTCCTCTTCTTATTTTTCATTGCTAGCGTTGTTGCTATCGTTTCGCTTGTTTTAGTATCATTGCACGGTTCCATTACTTTTATCCTCATTACATTGCTCCTTACTTCATCGCTGCTATCCAGCTTGTTACTACCATCGGAATAATTATACTTGCGTGCTTTCTCTGTTATTGTTCTCATTGCTGTTCTTGTTCTTGCTCTCATTATTGCCGTTGCTGCTGCCAATGCTGTTGCTGTGACGACTGTTATTACTAGTCGCATTCCGACTGTGACCATGCTTTGCACTCAGATTGTTGCTGTCATTTCTGCCTATGCCACTCCAGTCTCCACGTTCCACACGCTTCACATACTGCACTCGGGACTCCACGCTCCACGCTCCATTCTCCACTCTCCACTTCCCCGTCCACTCCACTTTCCCCTCCGATTATCCACTCTGGAAATGAAGGTCCAAATCCCTGTGACTGTTGACACTTTTGACGCACAACGAAGATGAAGATGCGAGGGTCCAAAAACCCTGACCGCTACGAGATTGCGACCCTGGAAGGGCTCCAGCCGAGGCGCGACACTCGCAAACACTTGCGAACTCTTTGCGGACGCTTGCGAAGACAATGCAACCATTTTTGGTCACCTACTGGACTCCTGGACGGCAACCCTTAAAACGGGAACCCTTCTGGGAGCATTTGGGAAGAATAAACAGCAATAGCACCGTAATTAACAATGATTGCTGTAGTGACAAGAGTCACTGTATTTGGGGCACGCACCTCCCGCTTGAATAACTACGCGGACGAGAAAGACAACATGCAATTGATATCCGGGATCAATTGATTGCAAAGCTTAGCGTGATTTGCACAGCATTTTTGAGAGGCTGGGAAAAAGCAGGAGGGGGCCGCAGCCCCCCCCCCCCTCTTCTGGAACGTGGACAAGGATGAGAGCGTGCAGGTTCTTGGTGAATTCTGATCGGGTTCGCGAGGAATTGTGTGTCTGCTTGAAAACAAAAGGAATTGGCAGGTGTGCAGCCCGGCAACCCCGCACTTTGCAAAAGATGGACAAGAACTGTAATAGGAGTAAAGAAGAAAAAGTTGAAATAGAATAAAAGCAGCCATAAAAACAAAGACTTAAAAGTGGTGGAGAATTGAGTGGAGTGTGGAGGATGGAGAGTGTAGAGCGGAGAACGGAGAGCGGAGAGTGGACGGTGGATGGAGGTGAGGAGTGGAGTGTTTTCGTCGTGTGTTCTGTGTATTGTGTTGTGTCTGACGCGCGCAATCTACGCGAGTTACGCGTTTTCTGTTTGCAATCGAGTTCGTCCACTCCTATCAGGCTATTACTAATTATATCTGATTATTAATCCCTGTTACCACAAAGAGTTATTGCTGTCATTGTTTTTACTCTGATGAAACTGCTAGTTCATTTTTATTCTCATGATTACTTATTTGTAGCTTCTATGACAGTCCTACCGCCTTTCTACTGCTCATACTGTTAACTATTCTTACTCCTATGAGTACTGATAATTGTTCCATTGCTGTTTTTGCTCCTTGTTGTTCAAGTACGTCTGCTACTGCAAGTATTGCTCTGGCAAACAATGCTAACAACAGCTTCGACCACGGTTGTAAACTGTTGTAAATTTTGATTACTCTGATTGCCTGAATGAAAGAGGGTACTTCGAGACATGACATCAAAAGTTAAAAGAAAGGACATTCGACAAGACACACTGCAAAGGAAGGCATCATACTAAGCTGAAGAATAGTAGGAACCCATTCAACTATTTATAGTATTGCCGCGATGATGACAATACTAGTGATAGCAAGTGACAGTGATAGTTGTGAAAACGGCACTGGTATTAATGTGGAAAAAGCCGTTTATAATGTAGCGAGTTGTCAGAACGCAACTGATATTATTGCATTTATCATTACTCTCACTATTAATTTAGGGCCTGGCGGCAGGTGCCGGCCTGGCTGCTGCCCCGCTTGCCCACCCAGCTATCAAGTGAAAGCCAAGCCCACCCCAGCCTTGCTGATACTCCATGATACTCCTGATTGAGAGAAGTGCACGAACAAGTTATGTTTTTGTTACCACATCAGCTGCACAACTGGGACC